ACCGACCAAGCCTCTTCTTCCATCTCCCTGTTACAAAAATCAATGCCGTGTACACGGCCACTGATAGGAGACGCGGAAGGTATTAAACTGATAAAAAATAGTACTAAACACACCACTCCTATCTGGTGTCACATTAGCTTGACCGCGCAGTGCCCCAAATTTGCAGTAAGAGGACCGACCAAGCCTCTTCTTCCATCTCCCTGTTACCAAAATCAATGCCGTGTACACGACCACTGATAGGAGACGCGGAAGGTATTAAACTGATCAGAACAATACTAAACACACCGCTCCTATCTGGTGGCACATTAGCTTGACCGCGCAGTGCCCCAAATTTGAATTAAGAGGACCGACCAAGCATCTTCTTCCATCTCCCTGTTACAGAAATCACTGCCATATCCATACAAATTGTACAGAATGTCCAGGATAGTTTTCCAGGGACAAATGTTGTCGCCTGTTGAACGAGGTGACCTTGCTCGGGTCCCAGGTGTGCGGTTCCTAAAATGGCTGCCATATACACGTCCACTGATAGGAGACGCGGAAGGTATTAAACTGATCAGAACAATACTAAACACACCACAAATAAGGTTTCTCTCCTGTATGGCTCCTCAAATGATGCTTAAGATTAGAAGCGGCTGAAAAGCATTTCTCACACTCCGAACAAAAATATATTTTTTAACATTCTCTCCACTTTGAACGAAATGACGTTTGGGAAGAGATTAACATAATTAAACACAGGCAGTAAAAATACAGTTTTTAGCCATACCCTGTAACTTTAAAACTACACATCCCATCTTCATAATTACATATTTGGAATCAGCACACTTAAAACATAAACATAACCAAAAATCAGCCAAATCCATCCAGGGGTTAAAAAGTTAGCTGGAGGTCCCTTTATGACCGACTGCAAGCACATTTTCCTGCCCAAAACAGTTCCATAGATTTGGGCTGTGAGGTCGGTCTATTTCAGGCTGAAAAAGACTAAGTCCCATCGCCGAATGGGACTTAGTCTCTGCTAAGTCCCATGACTTAAGCTGAAATAAGGCTGAAAAAAACGGCTGAAAAAAAGACTAAGTCCCATCGCCGAATGGGACTTAGTCTCTGCAGCTGAAATAATTTCCCATTTACTGAACCAAGTGGGAAATAGCAAGGCAGGCACAAAGGGTTTGCACCAGGTCTGGGGACACAGGGGACACCGTCTTAAAGGGGCCGTGTCCCCAACAAGTCTGGGGACACGGCCTTAAAGGGGCAGTGTCCCAATCTTC